ATATTTATAAGTCTACCATTTGTCCATGTTTTGAATATTGCTGTTACATCTGATCTGGCGCTTCTGCCATATATTTAGAGATTCTTGATAAAAATACAAAGAAGAATCTGCAATGTTATTGGTCCTGAGCTGGGATCTAGGCTTCCGCTATTTTCCCGCCGCCATAGCTTCCCTGTTGTAATTGTTCGGTTGAACACTCCACTATGTAACCTCGACTTCATCAATTTAAGCGCAGTACTAGACTGGCAGCAATGTCTTATAAATTCACAGTTTTTTTTTCTCGCACTTCTTGATTGTGGAACTCTCTTCCGGATCCATGTTTCCAACTTTAATCTTCAAGAACTTAAATTCGATATCAATCATTATCGTCTGTTTTCTTGATTACTCTTCTATTGTTCTCGTTTCTTAAGAATGTTTCTCTTTTTTTTTTCCTTATTTTTTTCACACTAAGTAACCCTTTGTGTCTTAGAGGCTTTACCGCCTTGTCTGGGGTGACATGATTAAAACATTGATATGTCCAGGAAAGGGATATATTTGAACGAAGTAGCTAAGTGGTTTTGGCTACTATAACCAAGTAGAATACGGTAGCAGTAATCGACTGGTACGCGTCGTAGTCGCAGGTAAGAAGTGTAGATCAATGGCGTAGTCCAATGGGCGTCGTTATAGACTTAGCTATCAGACTAAGGCTCTTGACTCTCCTACACGTCCGTCTGTATTTATGACGGACACCAGCCAATCATATTCCAAATATATATATTATATATATATATATATATATATATATATATATATATATATATATATATTATATGTACCGGAAAGGGATATATTTGAACGAAGTAGCTAAGTGCTTTTGGCTACTATGACCAAGTAGAATATGGTAGCAGTAATCGACTGGTACGCGTCGTAGTCGCAGGTAAGAAGTGTAGATTAATGGCGTAGTCCAATGGGCGTCGTTATAGACTTAGCTCTCAGACTAAGGCTCTTGACTCTCCTACACATCCGTCTGTATTTATGACGGACACCAGCCAATCATATTCCAGTGAGGAGGGACACAGGTGTATGCATATTCCATTATATCAAACATATAGAAACTTTTGGAGATTAGATATGAGCGTGTTATATTTGCAACTAATGTTTTACCTTAACTTTTATTCATAATCAAAACAATTAGTCTAGCTTTTGGCACTTGCGAGAGGTAATTTTGCCCAAATCCCAAGATATCTACAAAACATGTAAATAATAATTCGAATCATAGTCTTTAATATCCTCGTCACATCGAGACTTTCATATGGATGTTATGCATATCGACAAACTCTTTCAGAAATATCTAAAATGGCAGCTGTATATTATCGCTTTCTCAGATCAATGATAAAAAATTGTCTTTGAACGAAGTTCTTACTCCTTCTAACATCGGGGACTGGCGCTACAGAATCACAAACTACAAATTGTAGCAAATAATAGAAACCACATAATTTGCGGACTTTCAAAAACAGCAACAATGAATATCGGACATATCTCGTAGAGAAAATAATGACCCAAGAGGTCGACATTCCACACGACCTCAAATAAAAGATTAGGAAGGAAACCCTCATCAATACTGGAAACATAACAGCGACTAAACTTGAGAAGAATATTTCGCTGATAAACTTTTTTAATAGTATGATTTTATAGATACTAACTTGTTCAGAAATGCCTAAAATATCAGCTGTATTCAGCCACTTTTTCATATGACAGATCTAAAATGGCTTGGAGCGAATTAATTCTCTAGGTATTAGAGAGGAACATCCTTTTTCGAAACTGAAATCAGAAAATCACCAAGAATTGTCCCACATAAAAGAATCTATATCACTTGAAGACTTTCAACTAGAGCAACAACTAAAATGGTTAGCACTTGATGACAAAAAAATGGCATTAACAATATGTTGTCGTTCTACACAACTTCAAGAAAATATATAATTCGACTGATATCACGTAAAACTTCAGTACTCTTTTCTTTGTTTCTAACGATTTTTTCCTGTTTCTTAATACTCTGCTTAGATTCTGCAAGGCATATTTGGCTATCTATAATGCGAGTTCGGATTTCAGTGCCATAATTTACCATTGTTATAATTGCTCTTTCAATTGAACCACTTAAGTAACTTGCTGTTGTTGTTCGCTATCCTCTTTTCAACATTCGTTACGTTTATTCAATGAGTATAAACAAATAAAATAATAGTACCAGAGACAGTAATTAACGAAATATTAACCAAAACCTTGAGTCATCGACTTCTTAATACCCTCATCAATACCCTCGTCAGATCAAAGCTCTCATCTGGATGACATGGATGTCGTCCAATTTGCCTAAAATATCAGCTGTATTCAGCCAGTTTTTCATATGACAGATATAAAATGGCGAATTAATTCTGTAGGTCTTACTTCGAAACTGAAATCAGAATATCAGCAAGAATTGTCCCAAATAAGACAATCTATATCACTTAAAGACTTTCACCTACAACTGCTTCTTCCTATAAGTTTCCATTTTGTTTCCATTTTCTTCAAAACCTCGTCGTTGCTCACATGTTCGGTCCATGTTATTCTCAGCATCTTTCAGTAGCACATTTCTGAAGGTTCAAGTTTCTTCTTCGCCTTTTAGGTGATAGTAAGGAATTTACTGCCATACAGGAGGACATATACTTTTTCTTCATTTTGATGGGAGTTTTTTTTTTTTCTGTTTCTTAATACTCGGCTTAGCTTTTGGAATGAAACTTTGGTCATCTCAATACGTCGTCGGATCTCAGCGTCGCTCTTCCCTTGCTCTGTTAGAACACTCCCCACGCATTTAAATTACTATTACCATTTCCATCTTATTGAAGAATATAGAAGATATAATTCCTTTCCTGTCCTCCGCTTCTTCTGCAGATCATACTTGGATTTATTGGTAGTTTGGAATTCTGTGACTCGATTTCACTTTATAAAAAGTCTCTAAGTCTAGACGAATCAATTATTCTGCAGAATTTTTTACGAGATTCGTGTTAATTTTCTTCTTTCATATGCCGTACTCCATTTGAACGTCGGCGATCACGTCTCTCCACAACTTTCGATCCTTTGAAGATCCAAGCAATGTTTGTTTCTTTTTTTACTATCATTCCCATTTCATGTTCATATTGTTACGTACGTTATGTACTGTTTCTCACTGTCTTTCTTGCCTTCAATATGGCCGTGTAAGTGTTAAATTTTCGAAGCCGCCTTTCCTCATTATGCGTTCCATAAATTTCAACTGTATCTTTCTGATTATAACAGTGATTATTCAAATAAACAATGTCATTGTGACAGAAAAAAGAAAGAAAGAAAGATAGAAAGAAACAGGGAGATGAACAGTCCGAGATAGATAGATAGATAGATAGATAGATAGATAGATAGATAGATAGATAGATAGATATGAATATGTTCAGATAGATAGATAGATAGATAGATAGATAGATAGATAGATAGATAGATAAACAGCCTGAGATAGATAGATAGATAGATAGATAGATAGATAGATATGAATATGATAGATGAATGAATATTAATAGTTCATAGATAGAACAGTCTGAGATAGATAGATAGATAGATAGATATGAATATGTTCAGATAGATAGATAGATATTAATATGTTCAGGTAGATAGATAGATGAACAGTCTGAGATAGATAGATAGATAGATAGATAGATAGATAGATAGATAGATAGATAGATAGATATTAATATGTTCAGGTAGATAGATAGATAGATGAACAGTCTGAGATAGATAGATAGATAGATAGATAGATACTTTGTTCCTTTTTAAGATTGGATTTCCGGTTGCATCTAATGCCTTTTCCTTCTTTTTCATTCTCAGTAGCTTCTTGCGTCTTAGGGGCATTATCATATTTCTTGGGGTGAATTGATAAAAAAAGAAAAACGATAAATAGATGCCCTATCAGAGCGTCTAATGTGCGAATTTCCTTCCTCATTTGTTACAAAATTTTCCACGAATGAAGATTTCTACCAAAGTTGTCTCTCTCCACGAATATATACTGTAAATTGTCTGTCACCAAAAAAAAAAAAAACTTCAGGAATTAGAACGTGTAGCTATTAAAGAAAATCCCGGAAAAGCTTATTCAAATCTTACCAAAAAATTTAGAAAACGGTTGCATCATCTGCTAATTTTATAACTGGAGTTTTGTCCCGGACTTTAATGGCTATAATGTCTACTTCTTCTAGTTTATAGTCTCCGTATGTTTTGTTACAAGAAAATAGGCTCTATTAGTTTAACTGTTTGAAGTTTCTTTACAGTTTCATTTCGTTGTTGACGATACATTTGGAAAATTCGTTCAAATACTATTAAGCTAAACAATGATAATCTACAAAATTAACGGTAAAAAACGATTACAAATATTAGAAGCCCTAACCATAAATGAAAAATATCTGGGACTTCGTTCACCTGCTACAAGGCCCAAGATCCAATTAGGATAGAGAGTTACTGAATGAGATTGTGGTCAGGGAGTATCCAGAAGTTAAAGCAGTAGAACGTTTCTAAGTGGTAGCCCAGGCACTGTAGAAGAGAGAGGTCTGAAAAGATGCTTGGAAATGAGCTTGAATAATTTGAACTGAAAGCCAAAATATTTCTCTGTCGTTTTAAATGGATCATTTTTCCATTACTGCATGCAGGCATAACCGTGTTGTTTCTTTAAAGATGAAAATTGATGTGTACAAGGCAGTAGACATTGCTATTCTATGGTGCAAAATCTTGGACTCTCTACCGACGACACACCCATCAACTTGACGTCTTCCCCATGCGCTGCCGACGTATGATCTGCAACAGAAACCTGGGTGATTGCATTGGAAACAGTGAAGTTCTGACTAAATGCAACATGCAGGGCAGTGACATCATCGTAATGAAGATCCATCTAAGGTGGGCAGGACACATGTCTTGTATGAGCGATAACAGACGTCTAAAACAACACCTCTTTGGTCAGCTTCTAACAAGCAGGTCAGTTGGAAAGCCACTTTTGCGTAACAAGGACAATCTGAAGCGATGCAGCATCCTCTTTTCTTCCTGGGGAAAACACAGCGTCAAAACAAAGGATCTGGCGCCTGTCCTGCTTTTCATCGATATAAAGGCTTGAGCGAGACCAACATGGGCATCTGGATCAACTGCGGGCAAATATTATAGACACTTGGCAGCATTCGCCTTCTCTGAATGATATCCTTAACCGCCATTGTGGCTTTGTCGTATATAGTAAAGCACGCCTTGCTGTCCACTCACGGAATTAAATAGAATTAGGGACATAAACTTTAACAATGAGTAATCATGAGAAACAGTAGATAGCGATTGAATTTTTACAGATTAAAGTTCCTAGAAATGTATGCAGCTGGAAAAGTGTTCAATAAGCGAGAGGTGCGAGAAAATAAATGTGTGTGTGTCCGTTTTTCTATATCTCTATTCCTGTGTATATTTACATTTGCTATGTGTGTGTATGCGCGCACACCCTGGTGCTAGTGACTGCCGAGGCCTGATAAATAAAAGCCATAGGTAAAATAAAATATGAAATAGGAACGGGAGTTGAGATGCTGTGTGGGGCGAAAAAAAAGAGATTACAGTCTGCCCCTTCGCGTTACTGACATAAAACAGTTACGCATCCACTTCATGCAAATCCCACATTTACTCAGCGCAGTGGTTAATCTATCGGCCTCACAAACACTGCATGCTTTTTTTTCTGAATTCAGGCAAGATAGGCAGGTAATTAGATAGTTGAAGGAAAGAAATTAGAACAGCATGTAGCTGCGTACTATTCTCAACAGCCCGAGGTCGGTGTTCAAGTCCGGTTAAGTCTTAGCTGCTAAACGGTGCTTTTCAAGGCAAGCAAACCTACCGGGAAAATATGAAAGATTATAGAGAAATTTGAAGTCTTTTGTAATGTATGGAAGAGTTGAGACGGGATGTTAAACTTTCTTTTTAACTTCACAATTCTTCTTCATTGGCTCGCACTGTGACTTAACTTTTCTTTCTTTCTTTCTTTCTTCCTTCCTTCCTTCTTTCTTTCTTCTTTCTTTCTTTCTTTCTTTCTTTTTTCTTTCTTTCTTTCGTTCTTTCTTTCCTTCTTTTTTCTTTCTTTTTCTTTTTTTTCTTTTTCTTTCTTTCTTTTTTCTTTCTTTCTTTCTTTTTCTTTCTTTCTTTTTCTTTCTTTCTTTCGTTCTTTCTTTTTCTTTCCTTCTTTTTTTTCTTTTTTTTCTTTTTTTTTCTTTCTTTTCTTTTTCTTTCTTTCTTTCTTTTTCTTTTTCTTTCTTTTTCTTTCGTTTTTTCTTTCTTTCTTTTCTTTCGTTTTCTTTCTTTTTCTTTCTTTCTTTTTCTTTCTTTTCTTTCTTTTTCTTCTTTCTTTCTTTCTTTTCTTTCTTTTTTTTTTCTTTTTCTTTCTTTTCTTTCTTTTCCTTTCTTTTTCTTTTTCTTTTTTCTTTCTTTCTTTTCTTTCTTTTCTTTCTTTTCTTTTCTTTCTTTTTTTTCTTTTTCTTTTCTTTTTTTCTTTTCCTTTCTTTCTTTCTTTCTTTTCTTTCTTTCTTTTTTTCCTTTCTTTCTTTCTTTCTTTTCCTTTCTTTTCTTTCTTTTTTCTTGTATATATTTATTATTTGCCTCTTGCTTTGTTTCTTTACTTTTCTTTGTAATTACTTCTCTTACTCACTATTCTTTTCTGTCTTTCTTTTTTCTTTCTTTCTATTTTTCTCTTTCTCCATTTATTTCTTTCTTTCTTTCTCTCTCTCTCTTTCTCTTTCTTTCTCTTTCTTTTTCTTTCTTTCTTTCAGTCTTTTTTTCTTTTTCTTCCTTTCATCCTTTAATTTTATCTCTCTTTCTTCTTTCTCTCTTTCTTTCTTTTTCTCTTTTTTATCTCTTTTACCCCTTTCTTTCTCTATATCTTACTCTCTATTGCTTTTTCTCTTTTTCTTTCTTTATTTCTCTCTCTCTTTTTCTTTCTATCTTTCTCTCTTTCTGTATTTCTTTCTTTTTTTCTCTCCTTTTAATTTTTACTCTTTCTTTCTCTCTTTCTTCCCTCCAGTCTTTCTTTTCTCTCTGTCTCTCTTTCCTTCCGTCTTTCTTTATTGCTATCTCTTTCTTTCTTTCATTTTCTTTCTCTCTTTCTTTTTTCTTTCCCTCTTTTTTTCTTTCATTTTCTTCCTTTCTTTCATTTTCTTCCTTTCTCTCTTTCTGTATTTCTTCCTTCTTTCTCTCCTTTTTTTTATTTTTCTCTTGCTTTCTCTTTTTCTTACCTTCAGTCTTCTTTTTCTCTCTTTCTCTTTTTCCTTCCGTCTTTCTTTCTTTATCGATATCTCTTTCTTTCTTTCTTTCTTTCTTTCTTTCTTTTTAGTTTCCACCACTCAATCAAACCGAAAACTTTTCCATTACTTCACAGCCTTTTCTGTCATTTTAGTTTTACTAAAACTGTTTTTATTTCCTTTTTTCCTCTTTCGCTTTCTTCGAAAAACTTTCCAGCATTCGCCCTCCCCAATCCGACCCCGCCTCGCCTTCACCCTTCCCAAAGACTTCAAGCGCCGCCGCCGCGCTGCCTAATGAACGTTTGAGCCATACATATCTTCTCCGCCCACTGACTTTCAGATGGCCTCATTTTCATCTACAAACCCCACATCAATTATATCTCGGTTTCTTTTTTTCTTTCCTTTCCTCTATAACTCTCTTTCTTTCTTTCTTTCTTTCTTTCTTTCTTTCTTTCTTTCTTTCTTTCTTTCTTTTTAATCTCATTTTGATTACGTCTTTCTTTTTTTTGTCCTTTCCTTTCTTTTTTGTTGACTTCCTCTTCGTCTTCACACTTTCTTCTCACTCCTCTCACCCCCTCTCTCTCTCTCTCTCTCTTTTCAAATTCATTTGTTTTACTTTTTCCTCTGTTAATAAACAGAGAAAGAGTAAAACAAAGTTTGTCGAAAAAAGTAAAATAAATAAGTAACACTATTTCTCTATAGAAAACTGAATCAATAAGTAGGTAGCTTGGCAAGAAATACTAATTTGGATCGGGAATTTTCACCGTATAATTTTCGATTGATACGCTTCCTAAATGATGTGTAAAGGAGATTATATTAAAAAATAAATATCTGTTTTGTAAAATAATAATAATAATAATAATAATAATAATAATAATAATTATTATTATTATTATTATTATTGTTATTAATTTCTGTTTCCTTTTTTTTCCTGAGTTTTAAAAATGTTTCGCAATTATTTCCCCTTGCTGCTACCTGTAATGCCCTCTCGATTTCCCGTTTTCTTCCTGCATTTCTTTTTCCATCTCTCTTTATTACAGTTTCTTTCTTACTATTCTACTGTTTTTCTATCTCCTCCGTTTTTTAGCCTATCTTTCTTTATTTCTTCCTCTCTGCCTTTCTTTATGACTCTTATTTTCTTTTTCTTCCTCTCTGCCTTTCTTTATGACTCTTACTTTCTTTTTCTTCCTGACCTTATTTCATTCTTTCTCGCTTTTTCTCTTCTTCTTCTTTACTATTTTACTCTATTCCTCTCTGTCTGTATCTTTCTTTATTTCTTCCTCTCTGCCTTTCTTTATGACTTTTTCTTTCTTTTTCTTCCTGACCTTATTTCATTCTTTCTCGCTTTTTCTCTTCTGTCTTCTTTAATATTTTACTCTATTCCTCTCTGTCTGTATCTTTCTTTATTTCTTTTTCGTTCCTTTTTTCTCTGTCTTCATTTCTTCCTTTCTATCTTGATTTATTATTACTATTTCTTTCTTACAATTTTACCTTCTTCCTTTCTGTCTATTTCTCCTCTATTAGCTTCTTGCTTTATTTCTCCTCCCCCCATCTCTTCTTTTATTACTCTTTCGATCTTTCTATTTGATTCTGTTGTCGTATCTCTATTTTTTAGCCCGTCTTCCTTTCTTTCTTTCTTTCTTTCTTTCTTTCTTTCTTTCTTTCTTTCTTTCTTTCTTTCGTCCTTCATTTCTTTCTTTCTTTCTTTCTTTCTTTCTTTCTTTCTTTAATACCCTTTCCTATCAATTCATTTCGTTTTATTTCTGTCTTTATTTCTTTTTACCCTCTTTCTTTCTATTTATCACTCTGTCTATCTTCTTTTCTATCTCTCTCTCTCCTTTTTTTATTTACTCTTTCTTTGTTTTTTTTTTTTCCTGTCTGTCTCTTCTGTTTTTACCTTTTCAACAGCGTATTTTTTTTAGTCTTCCTACCGTTCTTCCACGCGCTTCGTCTTGCTTTCATTTACACTGCTACAGTTTTTTTTTTCTCAGTTTTCCTCAATCCCCAACTCCATCTTTCGGCGCCTCCTTTGCACCTCAAGTCTGAAATATAAGAAGCACTTTTTAGTCCATCAATCTTTAGTCTCCGTCCTGGCGTATGATCTAAGAAACGACCTTCCAGTTTTCCTACCTTGCATTTTCATTTACCTATTAACCTCATTTTTGTTCCTACCCCGCCACGCATTCAGATTTAAAATAAAAATCTATTCTTTTATTCTTTTATTCTTATTCTTGTTGTTGTTGTTGTTCTTCTTCTTCTTCTTAGTATTATTGTTATTTATCTTAATCGTATTCTTATTCTTATTCTTACTCTTATTATTCCGTTCTTCGATGCTTCCTCTTCTAATTTTTATGTTTTTCTTTTATTCCATTTCATCAAATCTTCCGCGCTAATTTTCCTTAACTTTTCCTTTCGCATGGGTTTAATTTCTCTCACATGTTTTTTCGTTCCAATTGCAATTATTCCTCAATTCGTGATTCAGCAGGTCGTTCACTGGGTTGGTTGGTTGGTTGGTCGGTTGGGTGGATAGATAGATAGATAGATAGATAGATAGATAGATAGATAGATAGATAGATAGATAGATATGAGATAACGAACATAGATATATAGATCATGAACATAGATAGCTAGATAGATCATGAACATAGATAGATAGATAGATAGATAGATAGATAGATAGATAGATAGATAGATAGATAGATATGAGCATACTGGAGATAGCTAAATAGATCATGAACATAGATAGATAGATAGATAGATAGATAGATAGATAGATAGATAGATAGATAGAGAGATAACGAACATAGATAGATTGATAGATCATGAAACTAGATAGATAGATACATAACGAACATAGATATATAGATCATGAACATAGATAGCTCGATAGATCATGAACATAGATAGATAGATAGATAGATAGATAGATAGATAGATAGATAGATCATGAACATAGAATAGATAGATAGATAGATCATGAACATAGAATAAATAGATAGATAGATAACGAACATAGATAGATAGATAGATAGATCATGAACATAGATAGATAGATAGATAGATAGATAGATTACTTCTGAGCGTATTGCAAATAAAGAATTATTAGACTGTCGACTATTGTCTATTGTCTATGTCTGTATCAATCTGAGTAAAACACTTTTTCATTTTTCTTTCTGCAGAGGTAGAGGGACCTTGAGACTATTGTAAAGGTATATTAATGTCAAGGCTATATGCCTGTCGAAATGTATTACGTTATTTATAAATAGATAGGTAGATAGAGTGGCTCTGAAACTGTTGTAAATAAAGACGTATTAGACTCATGACAATTGTCTATAAATTATTTCTGTTTAAATCAATCTCATTTAATTTTCTCTATGCATAGGTAGAAAACCCTGAGTCTATATTATAAATATATACTAATGTCAAGCCTTATGTCTCTCATTATCTATCTATCTATCTATCTATCTATCTATCTATCTATCATCTATCTTTTCTTATCTATCTATCTATCTATCTATCTATCTATCTATCTATCTATCTATCTATTGTGTTATTTGTTTATTTCTCTTATTTAGTTCTATTTAAAATGTTGTAAGTAATCAAATATATATGTGTGTATTCTGTAATACCAATTTCTCTTGCTTTGTAACACCCCCCCCCACACACACACATTCCACTCTGCTCTCAGCCTACTTTATTATTATTGCTGATGATTGTCGGCCATTTTTAGAGACACTGAACAAGACCCACGCAAAAAGTCTAAACAATGAAACCGATTAGAATTAGAACCCGGTAGTCCAATTTTCAATTTTTGGCCGTTATCCATTACACCATCCACACATCCAAGCTTACAGCACCTGGTATTTTTCAGTTACCCATCTAGGTATTGACGTTGCTTAACTTCGGTGATCGTACGTGAACCTGTGTTTCAACGTCATCCGGTCGTAAGCCTATTATTGTTACAGATCATGAGTGTCAAGTTGCGGAGTTCAAGTGAGAACACATATTCTCAGTATTCCAGGACTCTCCTTAGTATTCTATCTATGTCCTTCAGGACTGTTCTCATCGTGACGATATGACAATTGTCACATTTCACGATTCACAACCTTCTTCAGCTTACTGCCGAAGTTGAGATACGTTTCCAGCTGTTCTATTTCCCTTTAAGCTGACATTGTGGCCTGCTATAATTTTTTTCACCAGACACGTTTTTTTCTTTTTGTTTACAATGCCTGGATCCGGTCTTCTGTCCTAGGCTGGGTAATCCCTTGACAAGGTTCTGGCTTGTACATATACCACTAATCCGTAATGATGAAAATTCAATCGCTTGCACATTTCACATGGGATCACCTTTCCAACCCAATCACGCCTATTCTGGTATTCTTTTTGTAATTTATGCTTTCGACATTATAAAACGAATGGATTTAATTTTTTTTTAAATACTTTTTTCTCTTCCTTTTTTATGTTTTTTTCCCTCGCACTTTCCACTCTATTCTCATTTTACTTTATTTTTATTGCTGCTGTCTGTCGGCCATTTTTGGCGGCACTAAACAGGCTCTTCGCGAAATTTTAAACAATAAAACGTAAGAAAAAAATTAAATGAATATCAAAACACACCAATATTTAATGGAAACAATGCATAATTGTCGATTATTTAAGTTTAACGATTCTAAACAAGATGTCAGCGCCCCCTGGTGAGTTAAAGGGTGAGATAATTGAGAGAGACACGGAATGAATACGACAAAATATATCCTTGTCATCTTTCTGATAGTGTGCAAGATTTTAACGCAATATATATATATATATATATATATATATATATATATTGTCATCAACAGGCAGACTGTTTCGCTGTATCACAGCTCATCAGTGTGGCTAGACGTCGGTTGCTTCTCTCTCTCTCTCTCTATATATATATATATATATATATATATATATATATCTTAAATCTCAAACCAGACCTAAAGACTTTGTTTAAGGAACTCGGCCTTCTAGCATATCGTACACCTAAGAACCTTAAGGAAATTATAGATAGTAACCAAATTTCAGATTGTAAGGTAATCCGTAATAGACCAAAAATAAAAAATAAACAACAGGATTTTCCCAACTATGTAACATATATATATATATATATATATTGTCGTCCACAGGCAGACTGTTTCGCTGTATCACAGCTCATCAGTGTGGCTAAATATCTGGTTGCCTCTAGCTAAGATATATATATATATATTAAATCTCAAACCAAACCTAAAAATTTTGTTTGAGGAACCCGGCCTTCTAACATATCGTACACCCAACCTTAAGTAAATTAAAGATAGTAACCAAATTTCAGGTTATAAGGTAATCCGTAATAGACCAAAAATAAAAAAAAAACCAGGATTTTCCCAAACATGAACCAGACACACCAATTCATTCACAAGCTCAGTCACTAAATCTACTTTCAAAATTTATCACAACTCTAAGTGTAGAAGTCATAACATAATTTACCTATTAGAATGCACACTATGCGAGAAAAATATGTGGGAAAATCTGAATGGCCCTTTCATTACAGAATTAATAATTATCGGAATCGGATCAAGTCGGCTCCCCACAAAAGATTATTACCTGTAGATCAATATTTCCTCCTAGAAAGACATGACTATGAAAGCCATGTCAAATTCTCTATAATTCAAAAATAGAAATAGACAGAAAAAAATACCTTAGAAAAATACTAGAGGAACATAAAGAATAATGGATTTTGCGCCTCAAAACACTTAGTCCAGACTGGCTTAACCACAAATTTAATAACATAGATAGAATTTATGTATAACCCTTTAAATCAAACCCTACCCATATTTCTCAACCACATATATCATGCTTGCAGAGGTGTTGAGATCTCACACTAATACAGACAGCCATACTAATATACACACATTCACACTCCCAAAGAACTAAAATATTTACATACACTTAACACAGACTTGCCCTTCCCAACAATCAATAAAACTGTCAAAATTACCAAGGAGGGGAATTCTGAAACTCTGAATCTCCCGGCCTCTATCTTAAAAACAACTTGATGGAGGCCGTTTAATTAATACAAGGACTGACCAAAATTAAGGATAAAAAAAAAAAACTGATGAAAACTAGAGATAAAGTTAACTATCTACAGAGACAGTAATTAACTCTTATGGTTCACTGCTACTAAGAAGGAAGCATTTTTTTCTCCTGATGTTGACCATGGCTGGCTGAAATGTCGAGGAACCTAACTGAAATAATAAAACAAAAAAATATTAATATATATATATTGATGGTACGTGGAACTAGAACAATCTACCCCGTAAGCGAAATAAAGGGTTCAGTTCGACATTCCAACTACCGGAAGAAGGACGAAGCGTACAACGGCTGAAATGTTGTATTAAATATGGCCACAAAGATGAGGACAATAGTCCGAATAATGTAAATAGTGTAGCTTCAGTTAATTCCCTTTAGTATCTCAACTCTTCAAGTATTTGTTTCCTCTGCTGTGATTAGGTATTGAACTCACACCTCTTTGGGTCAAGTCGCTTTTTGGATTACTCAGCTAACGCTTTTATCTGTTCATTCGTATTTCATGACTATATCACGTAGAAACATCGGTTTCCATACGATCAGCAAAGTTAAGCAACGTCGAGCTTGGCCAGTATCTAGATGAGTGTAGCAGATGCTGTAAGCTTGGATGTACGGGTGGTGATGTAATGGATAATCGATCAGAATTGTTAATCGGAGAGCCGAGTTTGGATCAAGTCACCTTTTGGATTAAGCAAACAACACTTTTATCCACTAGGTCATGTGTCCTTGGGGACATCAGTTAGTAAATTTAGCATCCATTTTCAAATATCACATGACGAAGACTTGACTTATACATGGCAGCCATGTCCTTGGTATCTCTAGCTTTTTAAAAATTAACGATTTTTTTAAATATAAAAATAATTCATAAATTATTCTTCTATTAACTTGGGGTACACCTGGCTAAATTTCAGGTACGCATTAGTGCACCCGGGCCCCACCGGTTGAGAAACTCCGATGATGTTCTAAAGAGAAGAAACTCTAGAAACAGAATTGTACGCCCTTTATCATTAACTAACAGTAGAGCCCGGCGTTGCCCGGGGATGTAACAGTAAGAGATAGATCAAGTATCGACCATCATAAAGACTGAAAAATAAAATTGACAAGGATTATTGTTTAAGGTTGACGGACACATATCTCTTAATTGGTTTTTTTTTTTGTTTTTTTTTTTTTACGAATTGATCAAAACCAAATTCAAACAAAAACATTGTTTTCAATCGTTATGAGTCTACTGATTGAATAGAATTTTATTATAAACAATTGTCTTGTAAATGGAATTTTTAAAAGCATTCTGAATCTAAAAATAAAGAAAAAAGTGTGCAAGACAATAACAAACACTACCTGCCAAAAAAAAAAAGAAGTGAAGTTTTGTTGAAATCGGTTGAAAAATGTAGGAAATCCGATCCCATATATAAAGGAACACACACACACACGCACGCACGCACACACACACACACACACACACACACACACACACACACAACCTGGGTTTTATAATAAGTATAACTGGATATGAGTTGTCCCCCTTTCATTCTCGACAGCGATGCTTCTTAATCATGTTTTCAAATTGATTTCGTGCAAAAACAATTGTGTTTTTCCAATTTTTGGCGCTGTCAGAACCGCCGCAGGGTTATTTTACGTAGTTCTGTGAAGTTTTGTTGAAATCGGTTGAAAAATGTAGGAAATCCGATCCAATATATAAACGAACACACACACACACACACACACACAACCTGGGTTTTATAATAAGTATGATTTACCAAACGTATCAAAGAAAGAAAACATTATTCTGGAACAAATTGACCCCGACAGAATAATTCAGCTACAGCTCTTCGCAGCTTTACTGTAACAATGCATATACGCGATTAGTTTGGGATCAGGAAAAGGGTTGTTTGCAATGTAACTGTAAAGTCTCCACATGGTCACATATCTTCTAACGGAAATATGTATTTGCAACGATGCAAAAACTTTCAATATTAGCTGAGTATATACTTATAAAATTTAATATAAGTTTATTGCCTACACACAGAAAAAATATACAAGATAGATATGAAAAAACTAACATAGATAGGAAAGGAATGGAAGAGATAGATAGATAGATAGATAGATAGATAGATAGATAGATAGATAGGAACAGTTAGGTAGATAATGACCTGGTTGAGACAGATAGATAGATAGATAGATAGATAGATATGAACAGTTAATGACCTGGTTGAGATAGATAGATAGATAGATAGATAGATAGATAGATAGATATGGTTTGGTTTGGTTTGGTTTATTTTATTTTACAGCATATCAAGCTCAATGGGTTATTTAATGCCAACAAGATTGTTATTGCTGGTAATAAGTTTTTCCAGAAGTATTTCATAATACTATACTTTATAAGTTTTATAAGTGGTTGAGGTCAGGAGATTGGGGCAACCATGTCATAACACTCACCTGCTTCTCATCAAAATATTCCTTCATCAATTTTGATTTGTGACAAGGAACATTATCCTGCATTTCCCAACTCCTATCGATAGTAGAAATAATCGATTTTTTTTGCTTCTACTGCACTTTTAATGTAGTTTGCGGCCATTTTCTACTGGCCAGAGTGAGAGCCTGTAGCTGGCTGCCACAAATAGGCAGGAAGATTCTATTGGCCAGCGTGAGAGCCAACAACTGACTGACATGAATGTTAACTAGCATGTTAGCATGCAAAAAAATCGATAGCTGCATTCGTCACAAGTGGGAAAAATTTAAATCTCCATAGCACTTTACTCCAATTGGCTCATTCGCTTGCTTAAACTCAACGTTGATTCTGATTCCGCAGAACTGGGTTGGGTGTGAAAAGTATTTGTTGTTAACATTCTTTTTCATTCGGTTTTTCCAGTTACGAGTCCTTTTAAAAGCTGATCGTTTTGTGTTCATTTTGTTTAGTTCTTTTTTCGTAACAGATTTAATGTTTAGTATTGAGCTTAGAAAAAATTCGCAGTGTGAGATAGGCAAGAAGTAAGGCATGTAGCAACATCAGCAAAGCAAAGGGCACTCCTTTAAAGGCAAGGAAGGGCAAAAATATTTTAAGTCAAGTGATAGCGATTGCTGTATGAGTCGTACGATTTTTGAATCAAGCACCGGGTCATGCTGCTAGTATATATATATATATATATATATATATATATATATATATATATATATATATATATATAATAGATGAGAACTCGTATTCGAGGATACCAGTCTATTAGGGCGGGTAGCCAATCTCTATTGCATACTCTCGTTCAGGCACATTTATGTTTGTTCAACATCGACAGAGCCAACCTTTAGTTTATACTGCAATTTTGCACAGCTCTCGACGACACCCAAGGGCTCCGTCTACCCAATTGCACCCACAAGACTTGGGTAAAACCGTGCTATGATTTTCAGGCACTTTCCAAAGGTGCCACATGCTGGGAACGTCCAGATCGATAACATAAGGAAGTCTACTTCCTGTCAAATCAACTGTTTTGAGAGTGGTTGCCTGATGATTGCGTTTAGCATGAAACAGTCTGTCGACTCTGAGTGTTGACTTCAATGGTCACTTTTATATTTACATACGCTCTATCTCTAAATATTGAGCACTTTAACCCCTTAATATAGCATACCTTAAAACAATATTTTATTCTACATATGCATATGAATATTTTTATCTACCTATCTATTTATCCATCTTTCCAGGTGTTTCTGTGTTAATGATTTTGAGAAATAGAGAAATGGACAGACATTATCTCTCTCTCTGCCGCACTCTCTCTCCTCTCTCTCTCTCTCTCTCTCTCTCTCTCTCTATATATATATATATATATATATATATATATATATATATATATATATATATATATTTGCTCTGGATTTACATTGAGCTTTCTGGATTTTATCCTCCTTTTATTTATTTTATTTTATTGATTTTATCCTTAGGTTTACCCATACGGATTACCTAGTTTTTCATAAACTATATATATATATATATATATATATATATATATATATATATATATATATATTTTTTTATCTATCTCAGTTTATTTATGTGTATCAATCTTTTATCATCTATCTATCTATCTATCTATCTATCTATCTATCTATCTATCTATCTATCTATCTATCAGTTTAAATTTATTCTACTCTATCTCATAACTATATGTATATCTGCCTGTCTGTCGATCTAAATATATTCACATTTTACTTAAGTCTATTCCTATCTATCGATATTTCTACCTCTCTCTCCTCTCTCTCTCTCTCTCTCTATATATATATATATATATATATATATATATATATATATATATATATATAACGTTCTTTATCTCGCTAAAAAATTAAAGAAATGGATAGTCCTGTCATTATCTATCTATCTATCTATCTATCTATCTACACTCGTTGCCCATATAGATAGATTGATAGATTAATTTTCATTATCTATCTGTCTATCTATCTAATCCGTCTATCTATCTATCTAATTTGTCTATATATATATATATATATATATATATATATATATATATATATATATATATATATATATAATCTATCTATCTATCTACATTCGTTATCCATATAGATTGTGTGATACGTAACCTTTTCATTATCTATCAGTCTGTTCATATCTATCTATCTATCTATCTATCTATCTATCTATTTCAGTCTGTTCATATCTATCTATCTATCTATCTATCTATCTATCTATCTATCAGACTATTGAAATCTATCTATCTATCTATCTATCTCAATCTTCTCATATATATGTATTTATCTATTTCAGTCTGTTCATATCTATCTATCTATCTATCTACACTCGTTGCCCATATAGATAGAGTGATAGATTAATTTTCATTATCTATCTATCTATCTATCTATCTATCTATCTATCTATCTATCTATCTATCTTCACGTGCCTGTATGTCAACATCATTCCTTATTCACGATCTTTACACTCTGTGTTCCTTTCTTCGTTACTATTGTTAGCAACATCGTTCATTTTGTTCCCCTCGCGTTCTATCCTTACGTTTTTCCTTGACATCACTATCTACACTTGTAATTTTTTACATTTTTCGCGGGATTATATTTGCGCTTTTGAACAGAGCAGCCCGTCAGCGTGAGAGAGATTTTCATTTCCCTCGGTTTGCGTATCACTCAATATACGTCTGCATCAGATGAACCGCCGTTTTTGCTTTTATATCTAGGATCCTGGGCCGATGTAGGTGTGTGTATCACATTCTGCCCGTGTCTCTTTCTAAATAAGTCTCTGATGCCTTGCGGTTTCAGCATCCCTCCCCGCCGTTCTCTATGCCTCTCAAAATTCCTCTCACTCTCTTTCTCCCTCCCTCCCTCTGTGTGTGTGTGTGTGTGTGTGTGTGTGTGTGTGTGTGTGTGTGTGTGTGTGTGTGTGTCCCTCCTTATGTTCACCTTCTTTCACTCTTTCTCTGTTTTACGACGCACCTTACCTCTCTCGGGTTAATTCCTTTCTCCTCCTCTTTCAGTTTCCAACCAGATTTTTATCACGTTCTAATTTCTTCTTTCTTTCTTTCTTTTTTTTTTTAACCTTTCTCTTTGTTTTGTATCTGAAATTTATCTCCTAATGTCTCTCTCTCTTACACACACACACACACACACACACACACACACACACACACACACACACACACACACACACATATATATATATATATATATATATATACCATCCACTCTTGCAACTGTCCCGTTTGTCAGTGATATACTTTTTTTCGGCATAGCTACACTATATTTTGGTTCTATCGAGCATTCTTTTTCTACAAGTGAAGCCAATTTCTTGAAATAAAATCCAGGAAACTTAAGCATTGTCGGAAATCTTACTCTGTGAATCCTTTGATTGCATACGAAGCGACCAGTGGGGTGTTCAGTCTCATGGAGCAGATAAAACCGATGGCGGGCGACAGCACTGAAGCCGTTACCGTAGTGGCGATCACTGAGGCACAAACGGCACCCGATCATCGTGAAGACAAAGAAGGAATTGAAGAAGAAGAAGATGAAGACGAGGAAGAAGCGGGTTGCGTCAGACCAGCGCCGAATCAATCGCCAGTGGCTCATACGTCCGATGTCGATGCTCCATCCCCACCAATGACTTCAGCATCTTCCGCCGCGTTTTTCTTCTTCTTCTTCATCTTTCTTGTATTCTTTTTCGTCTTCTTCTTTTTCTCCTATTTCTATTTTATCGACTCACCCCCATCCACAGCCTCCTCGCCGCCGGACGCACCCATAACACCTTCTGCATCAATACAACCGCAGCCATCGCCGTAATGTTTCCCCTCTTCCTTTTCATATACTTTTTTTTTTTTTTTTTTTCGCCGCCATCATCTTCATCAGTACCGACAGCCATTCTTTCTTTTGTGCCTGTTTTTTTTTCTCTCCCTCGACCATCTTAGGAAGCTTCTTCTTCTTCTTCTTTTTCTTCTTCTTTTTCTTCTTCTTCTTCTTCGTTCGTTTTTACTTCTTTTTTTTCTCTTTACCTCACTCTTTAACTCCTTTCCCAAACTTCCCACCAGCTTTTTCACCCTCTTTACCATTATCATCATAATAATCAACCTCTCACTTGCTCTCCTTACCGTTCTCGGGGTCCGTCCAGGCGGCCAGGGAGTAAGAAGAGTCGGTTAA